GGGGCGGGGGAGCCAGCAATTTAACAAAGAGTTCGGTGTTTTTTTTTGTAATTTTATTGGCCCACGGAGCTTCAGCATAGGCTAATTGGCCTCCCGGCTCTCAGCTGATTTGTCTCAGCTGTTTTGCTCAGGGCTCTTCTGCTTCCTTGCAAAGAGTGCTGATTTTTTTTCCCCCTAGCTATGCTGAGAAACGAAACTGAAACTGCTTTGCTGTTGCTGCAAGGTTGGAAAATTAGGCAGGCAGAATTCTTTTCTTTTTCCCCACCAAAAAAGGTAGGTGCAAACAATGGGAAATTTAGGGAAAGATTTTAAAACACAAAAGAAAAAAAGCTCTATTTAACTAGGGAATTGTAATAATTGAGATACTATTAATTGTATATTGTGTTGAAAGCAGAAATGGTTAAGTTGTGGTTTGGAGGAATATATGGGGGAAATTATTTGGTTTATTATTATTGGTAAATATAATTAATTGATTTGTAAGAAATTGGATTGCATGGAAATAATTGGAATATTCATGTTCATATTGATTAATATACAAAAAAGGTAGTTATATAACTAATTGATTTATATTAAAATGTTGAATTTATATTAAACAACTAATATTACATAATTAACCAATGTGAGGATGGATATAAAAATAGATGACAATGGGAAGGGGTATAATATAGAATAGAAGGGAAAAATTGAATTTGATTAAGATTAGAGATGAGGATGAAGGGTAATATTGGTTTTTTACAAAAATAGATGAGGAATAAATATGGCAAAAAGGAAATATAGAAATTGTAAATTTAATTGAAATGACTAAACACTGTTCAAATTTGTGAACCGGCCAAATACTCTGTTCAAAGAAAATACATTGTATGTTTGTATGTGTGTTTCTAATTATTGTTATTTATTCATATTTGTTCTCTTTTATTTTTTAAAGTTTAACAATTCATTCTTTATCTTAATATCTTTATATTTGTTTGGGGTTGGCTTTCTTCCCTTTCATCTTTTTTATTGTACAGCAATCTTTCTCCTCAAACCTACCACCTCTCTCTTTTCTTTCCTTCTTACTTTCTCTTCCTCTCCCTCTTCTTCTCCTCCCTACTTCCTCTTCCTTTCTCCTTCTCCTCCTCCCTTCCTCCCTCTCTTACCCTCCCTCCTACTCTAATTTCCCTTCCCTTCCTTCATCCCTCTCTATTGCTGTATCCTTTTATGCATATGGACTACTCAGAGGGCTGAAAAAGTTATTTCTGACTGGTCCTCGAACTTACGACTGTCCTCACATTTTACGTTTTTGCCCTATCTTGTCACCATGGTGAAGAGAAGCAGTTGTGAAATGAGTGACATGGTTGTTAAGAATGCTACAATGGGCATAAATGATGACCAGTCATAAGTGCGAAGACCGGTCAAAAGTGTGAGGACCTGTCAGAAATCACTTTTTTCAGCCCTCTGGGTAGTCCTTTTGTGCATATGGACTACTCAGAGGGCTGAAAAAGTTGTTTTTGATTGGTCCTCACACTTTTGACCAGTCCTCGAACTTATGACTGTCCTCACATTTTACATTTTTGTCCTATCTTGTCACCATGGTGAAGAGAAGCAGTTGTGAAATGAGTGACATGGTTGTTAAGAAAGCTGCATGAGCATAAATGTGAGGATGGTCATAAGTGTGAGGACCGGTGAAAAGTGCAAGGCCCAGTCAGAAATAACTTTTTTCAGCCCTCTGAAAAAAGTCTATGCACATAGCCACGCCCACCCGGTCACATGACGAGCTACCCACGCCTACACAGTCACATGACCAGCTAGCCACGCCCACCCAGTCACATGATTGCCAAGCCACACCCCCAACTAAGCCACGCCCACAGAACCTGTTGTTAAAAAAATTGAATCCCACCACTGCTACTTTTACTATAAGTAGCAGAATCTTGCAAGTTTAAATTCCCTTCTTCCCTCTTACTTTTACATTCAAGAGAAATGGGGAGGGTCAAATCTGAGATGCTCAAATTACATTTCCTGCTCTGGACTCGGACTTCTCTTGTTTGACCATTCTCTTGGTTACAACTCTTCTCCCTAAGTCTCACAGCTGATTACAGTTAGTTTCTGGAGAAGGGGGCTTTTGTGGCTTTATAACACATGGACTACCAACATTTGGGTAGGCACTTGTTCTGTCCCCGTACCACGCACACACCCAAACAGCCAGCTGAGGGTTAAATAAACTCTTCAAACACTCAAGTGGCTGCCTGCCAAGAACTTTTACTCCGATAACACAGACAAAAATACACACAGTTTGAATAGTCCAGTTTGTAATTAAATCCATAGCAAATAGGTGTTGTGTCCAAAGGTGCAAAGTGCCTCGCCAGAGATTAGCTTCTCCCTGCGCCTCTGGCGAGGGTCCAGCCAGCACTTATTTTCCTCGTCGCTGTCCACCTGTGGCTGCGGGGACGTGCTTGGCTCTGAGCCTATCGTTTGGCCTTCGGTGTCCTCCGGAGGCATTGCCAGAGAGGAGGGTCCTGGAGAGGGAGGCCTTGCCAACTCCTCCCCCTCACTCTCAGCGTCTGCATCTGTCGATAGCCCAGGCTCAGGCAACGGAGCCACAACAGCACTGTCCACCCCTATGATTGACAAAGCTAGACTTTCCTATAGATCAGAAAAGACTATATGTGACCCAGTGTAGAGCACATCAGTGTTTACAATATATGTGTGGTGAAATATAGTCTAGAGTCACCGCAGGGAAGGGCTCATTCCCAGAGAGCAGAGCTTGGAATCCTTGGTAGGCAGGAAGAGGGCAAAGGCGGGAAACTGCCACCCCCTTCCCAGCAATTCACAGAGTATATCTAATAGTTATACAGATAGTTGCTTTAGTCTGGCAAGATTTCTGTCTATAGGTGAACAATAATAAAGAACCACCCAGAAGTACACTCCATATGTTGTTCTTGTTTCTTTGGGGCTAACAGCATGTTATAAAATTATTCTGTTGAAGATACATTAAGAATTCATATATAATGCATATGCAGACATATAATCCAAACAACTACTTTAGATGCCAATGATTTTTTTCCCAGAGGCTTTGTGCTCTCCTAACTTTACTCCGCCTGACTTCTACAGATTTCACTAACATCAAGATAGGAACAGATTAGTGCCTATTCCAAAGCTCATAACCTGCCTTCCCTTTCCTAGGTCTTCTGCCTTATGAGAAAGATTTAATTTTGTGTACGTCTTGTTTTCAAAAGGTAATGTGACCATTTTCACAAATGTAATTGATTGCCAGTTTTTCACCATTTAATTATCTACCCAATAGAGTGCTGGAGTCACTAAAGGCTTCCTGTACTCACACTATGGGTGCCTTACAATGATATATAGGTTGCAATTGTAAATATGTGTTCACTTATGTTTACACTTTCATTTTTAAATACACTAAAGCTTGCAAGGTCTGAAGAAGACTTCTGATTTCAGGCAGCTTTTAATAAAATACCCCTTCATAAACAGTATGCAAGCATTTCTGTAAATTGATTATCTGACCCTAATTCCTCCTCATGACAGCTCGTTTGCTTCAGCATCTTTTGTGATATAGGCATTTCCCCTGTCCTCTACCAAATCCCTTTTTGTTCTTGTTTTTCCATCCACATCCTGCTCCACTGTTCTTAATTTTTTTCCTGGTACAAAAGGGATGGTTTAACATTTGTTGTTCTTTTACCCATTTTTATAGGTGTTTGTTTCCAGGAATATTTTTGTGAGCTACAGAATCTAATAATGGTGAATAAATCCTGACTTTTTAATTGGCAGCTTTCCTGTGCTTTAATCCTTCTTTTGCTTTTTCATTCTTTGCTCTCTATACACCGGGCTCATCTTGCTGCTCTGATCTTTTCTGCTGCTTTAATTACATAGCAAGGCAGCTGAACATTTCAGTTTCTTATTATTAACAGCGCCTTGTTTAAAGTTTTCAATCATAAAGCAAATGATGATTCATCTGAATTTGACTATCTTTGAAATTATACCTGGGTGTCTTCCTACCTCTTCTATTCCCAACAGATTACACAATAGCACTGATTAGTAGCAGCATTTGTAATACCTCTTAAAGATTTATCATAATGGAATACTGTCAGTAATAGTATTTAATTCACTTATGTCTACACAATTCATCTCTACTGGCTTCTGTTCATTTCTTCACTGTATATTCTCTCTCTGATCTCCAAGTAACAAGATATGATACCCCCAAGTTACGAGTTAGGACAAAATGTCGAAAATGTTAATAAATGCTTTGGGTTTTTGACTTTTTACTCCACTAATTGCTATTTACATTTGTGTGTCACATTGCTATACGTCTCACAAATGAACTTAATGTAGGTGATTCATTAAATTGGGAGGAAAATGTGATAAAAGTGGCATTGATAATATTGGCTAGTTCAGAGGAAAACTAGAAAAATATATTTTAGGAGATATCGGTCTTTTAAAAGGGGCATCATTAGATTTACCTTTAATTCTCAAATGTAATTTATGTTTGTGCAGTAATGAATGTCTATATACTGTAGGCATTTCAGCCTTGTCCCTGAAAAAACTTGGAAAGGGACTAGAAGTTTATTGTTGATAATTACAGTGAATTTGTGTTTACTTCGCCTGCTTAACATCTGCTACTACAGAGAGCCCTTATTTAGCAACCGCCTTGTTTAGCAAACATTTGCAATTAAGACAGTGATAAAAAAATGTAACTTTGAGACCAATCCTCACATTTGTGACCTTTGTAGGTCTGTAAAGCAAAGAAAAGCAGAAAGATTATTGCAAGCACAGTTGTGGTTTCACTTGGCAACTGCTTTATTTAACAACCATGTTGCCAGTACCAATTGTGATCAGTAAACGAGGAATACAAGTATATTCTGATGGTGTGGTTTTAAAACTAAAATTATTATCATTTCCATTTGGCTTGCCATTAAATTGATGTAATCAAAACTTCAGTTGAGTAGGCGTCCTGACTTGTGTCAGCAGTATGTACTGACCTTAGTTGTTGTTGTTGTGTCTCCCAGGATTGGTGCAAAGCATCAGGAACTCCGTCAGAAGCAGATCAGGGGACTTGCTGAGTATTCCACAGTTCCTGTGGGAGCCCCGCCTGATCTTGATGATGATGAGACAGACCCAAATTATGCACGAGTGAATCACTTCCGAGAAGTATATCCAGTTATCAACTCCTACCAGCTTTCTTCTCCACCTGTTTCTGAAGCTTATGGTGGGTGCAATAACCCCACAGCACCTCTGGACAGGGACCACTTAGAAGGATTATATGCAAGGATAAACAAGCCATCCCACCAGCATGCTCCTGTTGAGAGGTAATACTCATGCCATGGGGGAAAAACAGTTAATGCATGTTTGAATATTTTTAAACACAACCACCATATTATATGAAATTGACATGGTAACTATATTATATTTCAAAGAATTTGATTTGAATATTCTTGTCAATGCTTTCAATGATGTACTCCTGCAGTTTTACAACTGCAAGTGATATTACGTGAGCACAATGAAGACCTTGGAACAGTTTGGAAATAAATCAGTGGATGTGTTTGTGAAGAGTCAAAGAAGCATTCTATACATCTTTTTTATGAGCAGAATGCTTCACATACATAGCAAGCTTTCCACGCGCCTTGGAATCTGTCTTCTGTATCTCCTCGGCATCCTTACAAATGAAGAAAAGGTGTTGTTATCCTTGAAATATATACCTTTTACTAGCATTTTCTGTGAGAGGGATTTCTTACCTTGCCCTTTTACCTGTGCAAAGTTGCAGGATTTTATTCCTGTCTCAGCCAGGTACAGTGTTCACAATCAATCTTCTTTTTTCCCCTAGTGTCTTCTTCTAATAACCTGTTGTTTTGATGATTTGTTAATAGTCAATGTCACTTTGGTCTCCACCTCCCAAACACATGCATACCACAACAGAGAGGAAACAGTTCAAATGCAGGTTTAGCAATATGGCACCATGCCCCCAAGTGCTTCAGAAGGCTTTCTGATGCAAATTTGGTCCCATGCTGCAATGATCACAGTTTTTGTAGTTTTTCAGCACAGGCTTAATGCTGTATAGCCATTGAAGTTCCATGTCAGCATATTCATATTCTCTCATTCTGAAGTCATTTGCTTTGTTTTTTTTTTAATGAAGGGGGGGGTCCCCTTGTTTACAATGTATAATTTTACTCAAAGAGGGCTGAATGATCTTAAATGATCAAGAATTTATATTTGCTTAAAAGAAAACAAAATAAATTTGCATCATTAGTACATTCATTACTCAAAGTCATTATGAAATTGAAATTATTATCAAAAGGCTCTTCTTTCACAAACAGACTTAATTGACCTGCCTCAAATTAAATTTCAGTACAAATTAAGTAGTTTTCTTTCTGTGCTCTGAAGTCCTGTACCCTAACAGACTTTTGTGTTCAGGGTTTTTGGGAAAGGGGAATGACATCATTTTATACCTAATTGCTAGAAAAAACTGGTTGCTTATACACTGTTTTACTATGTAAGCTTACAGTTTGCATTTTCATATTCTATGATATTATGTGCTTTCAATTAAGCCAGAGGAAGATCAGAGAATGATGGCATATTTATGCAGATTGCAAAACATAGCTTCATAAAACAGATTACTTTTCAGGGTCTTTTGAATAATAAGCAGGGAGAAAGGAGCCATTTTTAATCCTTAATGTCAAATTTCTAGGGTGATAGCATTATTATTATATGACTGAAAGAAAGCATGCATCCCTAGTCACAGTCAGGGAACCATAACAATGAGATTCTGAAATCTGGCACTGGAGATTACAAAAACTGTCTTTGATGTGGCTTCCTATGTTTAAACAAGACACTTTTGAGGAACTCTCCAAAAATGCAAACAAGACAGATAGCTGGAGGTAACTGAAGAGTGAGGAAGAAGTCACTACTGAGATGTGTGGAACTGTGGTTTGTTTTTTTTTGGGGGGGGGATTGTTTATCTTAGTTTTTGAAAGCAAAAAACTATATTGAATTGAGATTTGTTTTCGGAGAGGCAACTTCAACATTTCTTTATAGCCAACTTTATTTCAATCATTGTAACATTTTAAATGTTTTAGCTCTCTTGTAGACATTATGAACAATATTGCTCATATTGTAGATATAAGCTTTAGTGAATTAGGCCATATACCATATTACTTGTATAATTAATTATGAAAGCTGACAAAGATGACTGATTGTGGCTTAAATTCATGGTCCTCCCTCATCGGAGAAATAATAAAAGTATATTCATCTTACGATGCTTTTGATAAAGTATTTTAAGCCATGGACTTACCTTTACTATAAACTTGGTATTTGGAGTTTTATTACTGTTTGTTAAGTTTTGCCAAGTGTTTAAACTACAAATGTTTTGAAAATGCCATGGATTCTTATTGAGATTTTATTGAGTTTTTATTCTGATTGGGGATTCCTGCTGTTTTTCTATTTTGTGAGCTGCCCAGAATTGTGGTTACACTATGACCAACTATGTAAGCCTTTTTAATTTACAACTATGTTTGTGTATGCATATATATGTTTGTATATACATATGTGTGTGGACACACAAACTTGCCTTCACAATAAGCAAGACCAGGCAGGTGTCTGCATCCTTTGGCTTGAGGTTCTTTCATGGTACTTCAATTGTGTTATAAAGTTCCTTTTTCAGACATGATAAAATGTTATTACTTTTTTGTAAAATGACTGATTGGAGAGGATTGGCCATTCATGAACTGCTTGCTACATTAAGTGTACAGAAGTGAAACAGCACCCCTTTTAAAGGTAGTCCTTGAATTATGACTGTAATTGAACGCTGGAATTACAGTTGGAAGTCATTGCAGTCATAAGTCAGGGCACCCACATGACCTACCGGTAAGTAATTTTCTGGTCTGTATCATGGTAAACGCAGTGATTGCAAAGCAAACCCATTCATTTGAGTGGGTGTCTTTTGTCAAAAACAAGCAAAAAATATTTTGAATTGTGGTGATTTGATTGCAAAATACTGTGACCAGTCATGAAGCTGACCCATCTGTCATGTGATCATTTGACCAGGGAGGATTGGCACAACCATTTATGCCAGTTGCTCATGGGCTATAAAATGCCAGTTTTGTAAATGTTGTAATTTTGAACAATCATAACATGAATGGTCAATACACAAGAACTATCTCTAGAGAAATTGAGGCTTCTCAAGCTAAAAGAAAAAAAATGGGATGTGAGCAGCAGCTGTGTCTGAGCCTCAAAACACAAAGCATTTGAGTACAGCATTTTTTCTCTTGTTCCCTATTCTCTGTGCTCTGTGTGTGCAAACCCCTCACCCCCTTTAGCATCCATTTATTCCATTCATATATCTTCTTTAAGGATGACCAACTATTTCAAAATCATTCTGTTTCACACACACTGGTCTAAATGTGGTGTCTCTATTATCATAACATCGGGGTGGGGATGACTGGTTACAGTATCATAGGTTAATGTCTTTCTAGCATAATTTTTATTGTGTGGATTCAGACCACATTTTACCATAGCCCCAGTTTTTTAAACAAACAAACAAACAAACACACACACACACACACACACACACACACACACACACACAATGGTTTGCTAGATTAGAACCTTGATCTAAGAAAACGGCTTGTAGTAACCTTCTGGTCCTTAAAAAATTATATATATTTTTCACAAACTAAAATCTTCAGCAAATAATTACTTTAAAATTGAAGAAACCACCAAGAAAGGAAGAGTAAAGAGTCAAAAGAGAACCCTAAACCAGTGTTTCTCAAACTCAGCAATTTTATGCTTGGTGGAGAATTCTGGAAGTTGAAGCCCACACATCTCTCTGGGGTTGAGAAATGCTGGCTTTCCTAGTGCAATTACTCCCGTCACACCTGATCAGGTGCAAGTAGGGAAAGCCCCTTAAATTCTGACTTGAGTTCAGATATAATGGTTTTAGATACATGTACAGGAAATTTGATCTCAAACTCATGGTTTAAGTCTAGAATTGAGATGCAAATTTCAGTTTAGAAATTATTGCTTTTGTTTTCTGTTTAAGATCTTCCCCCTTTTTACCACCCTGTAATCCCTTAATTCAGAATAGAGTTGGGGTGACTGGATGCCCTTCCTGAAGCCATGTGGAATTCGCAGCAAATATTTTTTCTTTGTGTCCTAGGAGAGAAATATCTGACAGTACCTAGGATTGAACTCTCAACCTTCTGAGTGGAAGGTTGAGAGTGGAAGACCAGAGTGTTCACCACTAGGCCACCACACTGCTCATGGTGTCTTAAGACCCTCATTTGGAAGTAAAATAGCTATTATCGTGATACACACAATACGCTCTCTGCGCATGCCCCAAGATGGCGCTGTCCGTGTGAGATACGCCCGATGATGGGACGGTTTCTGGTCATTTGGGGGTCTCGGAAGCTGACTTGACCATCTGCGGCTCCAGCCCCGGTTGTGGGAGTCTCTGCCCAGCCTGTTGAGGGCTTTTTCGCCCTCCGGAATGTCATGGCTGGGTCGGAGCCGACGCGAGAGGCGCTGCGGGAGGACGGCCTGGATGCGGCAGCCTTCTTCAGCGCCGGAGGCCACGGAGGTCAGAGCGGCGGCAGCTGTGGGCGTGGCGGCGGCGGCATGGAGTGGGCCCTCTCCTCCCAGGCCCTGGATATCTTTCCAGTGGTCCTGGAATATGCTGAGGGGCCGGGTTCCGGACGGCGTCGACGATGGCAGCTGAGGCGGCAATGGCAGCTATGGCTCGATGGCGAGACGATAGCAGCGGCAGCGGCCTGGTGCTTAGCAGCAAAGTAGGGGGGGAGATATGGCCGGCTTGTTTCTGGCCTTTCCATCTATACCAGGAATAGACCATCTGACTTGGGGACTGGAGTCTGGAGGCGGGAGATACGATTAGGGGGATTTCTGAAGTTCTGGGGGTTGGAGAGGCTGGAGTGCGGCCAAAAACTGGTCATCTGGTCACCTCGGTTGGTCTCCCCCCCCCCGTGTCTGTGGCCTGGTTTCCGGCTTCCCGCCTCCAGATTGTGTCCAGCTGCATGTTACCCCTCCCTTTTGAACACCTTCTCTCCCTCGGGTTTAATATCATCGTGCCTCTATGGTCTGGCTTCCTTTCTCATCTGAGCCCCCAGCTGGAGGGAGTCTGGGCAATTGTCATGCGGGAGCTGAGGGAGCTGTTGCCTTTCACCAACGGAGGAATAGACCATCTGACTTTCCTGAGCCATTTCCATCTGGGCTAGCCACCGTGAGAGTGTGGCTTGGATCCTTACCTCCGATTTTGGCGAAATGACATGGGACTTCTCCCACTGCCGTGAGAGGGCAGTGG